AACACATGTTCAAGGGAGAGTGAGAGTGGGCTGTAATAAGAGAATGAACTCTTATAAACAGAATTACTATTTGATGAAAATAAATATTTTCATACTAATGTCACATATACCTAATAAAACAATAATAACGACAATAATAATAATACTTATTATTATTATTAGTCATCCTAGAAACAAGTACTGAATTGTACATTGTAACATATATTGTACACCGTAGCTCTTACGGTGTTTCCAGGAGGGACGGTAAGGAAGGGCCAAATAAAGTCTCAGTTTTCGGCGCCTTCTTCTGACTGGATCAGCTACAACGACACTTTTCTATTAAAGTTACTTCATCCAGTAAATCACCAAAATCACAGGCTGGAGTTTATGGTCAGTTTCCTCGACATAATATTGTCAATTATAAACACACAAGTTCAAAAGATTATAAACATCATAATATGTCTCCTCTGAAAACATTTAAAAAAAATAAAGTGGAAGACCGTAATTCTATTAAATATATGGGAAATATAAACTTGAACATCGTCCAGTGTCAGAAGTGTGTGTGTGTGCGTGTGAAAATTTAAGTTCAATTTCTGCCCTAAAAATGTAAGTTAACCTCTATAAAAACTTTTTTCAAACTCAGAAATATAATGTAATGACATTTTTCATCATTTCAACCAGATACTGGTTGAAATGATAAAATACTACATTTATCAATCAATAAAACTTGCTCTCTAAAGTCAACGGAACGGCAGAAATATGATTGGATAAAAAATAGTAAGTACACGTGACTTGAAGCAGGCCAACCAAGCAAATATATATAACATATAAATATATTGACAACATGTCAGTGACGATGCTGAGGCCTTGATGCTATGTTACTGACTAATAGTTCGCTTCTCTGAATTGTTTAAAGACCTTTTTATAGACAGTTACAAGAAAAAGTGTAGGAAAAGGTGAGGAGACAAAAATATTTCTAAAAGCCTTGATGTCCGTGTGTCGTCCTGTAAAGATATTTGTGATATATATATATGTATGTTTGAGAACTGTTGGTATAAATCCACTGTCCAGACTAGTTGTAAAACAGAATAAATTATAAGTTTTTTGAGAGACAATTGCACCAGAATTGTTGTTTTTTTTTTTGTCAAATATGTAATTGTAGTGTATAATTGTGTATTCACATGCTCAATCATACATACTGTATATAATCTTTGTACCCTGTTTTCGCCTCACATGGTCATCTCACAGGGGTCGCGCCCTCTTGTCATTTAAAGAGCAGCTTTGATGACATCATTAAACGAGGAGATAGTTGTATTTTTCCACAGTTGCATTTGACCTTTACTTTAATGTTCATACAAGAGTGAGTTTATCTAGAAAACATAATAAACAAGCATAATAAACACACATGACCAAAAGGACTTCAAGTGGTGAAATACTGCAACATGCAATACCTGCATAAAAGACCATACCTGACTGGAGAAGCACATCAGAGAGCGGAGTTGACAGATGCAGTGTACACGGAAAAAAACTTGTTCACATAACCATAAATCACATCAAACGTCATAAAAAGGAACGTAACGTCAACATACCAGAAAGTGTTTGACCTCACCTAAAAGATAATAACTAAAATCCCTTAGTGACATATATCAAAATGTGTGTAAAACGCCCTGCTAACATATATGCTAACTACTGCAGTGACCAAAGAAAGGACCGAGTGTTAAAGGACCCAGATACCAGAAGTACGACAGTTCAAAAACTTCAACCACAGTGTTAACCCTTCAACGGAAAAAAAACTAAAGAATTTGTTTCCACCGACAACATTATTGTTTGTCCTACAGTTGTTTTTCCTTTGAAACTCATGTAAACACAAATTCTCTTCAAACATTTTACACAGAAACAAACACAGAAACACTATCGCTTTGAGATAGGAATAATTTACGCTTAATTAGCTTTCAAATTAATTACGAGAAGTGTTTCACCAAACCAGTAACGTTATTTCTTTCAGATGAAGCTCAGTTCCATAGACTTTCTTGGCAGCAGATTTTTTTTTTAAATCGTTTTGACGGCAGTTTTTGAAATCACAAGATTTGGATTTTAACACGCAGTAATAATAAATAACTGTTGGTCAAACATGTACTAAGAGATGTACAGCTGTCCTTTCCTGGATAATGAAGGTCAGGGTCTGCTGTTAAGGCTCCTGACTGCAGCACTGTCATGTGTGTAAAAATGAGCATGAGCGTTGAGGAGCTCATATATGTATATTTGCTCAATATATTAATCCAAATTATGCTAAATAAATATTTAAATAATAAAATAAATAAATAATATATGAAGTAGTTTTGAGTGAAAAAGTAATATGTAAATGAGTAATATAAATAACTATGACAATTTATTTAACATCTCAAAAAAAAAAAAAAAACAAACACTGGAAAACAATGACAATCTTCTGAAAGGGTTCAAATGAACAAGTAGAATTTCTGAACTTTCCATTGGTTAATGGAGGTTTGGAGAGTAAACAAATACAGCCTCTCTTTAGGATAAATCATTTTGAATTAATCTGCAAATTTAAAATAAGGAGGGACATCCTGTGTCCTCTAGGTGTCTGTCCCAGGCTTGGCCCCATTTGTATTTTTTTTAGTTTTTTTAGGTAAAAAACAAGTCCCAAAACAATCATGCAGATCAGGAATATGACCTCACTGGCAGAGGGAGGGTGTGAGGACCTGGATGTAGTGACAATGACTGGTAAAGGTAGAGAGGCAGACATGATGGAGAGAAGAAGGACAGATGTCTTCATGGGCAGGAGACCAGATGGAAGGGAAACCAGGGCAGGAACACGAGGTGGTGTTGATGCTGAGAACATGGTTTCAGACCGTCATGAGCTTGAAGGTAGAAGTGGAGTATGAAGCTGAATCTGTGATCAGCAGACATGGTGGATGAGTTTAAATGACTAGTTTAACTAGTTAGGACCAACCACCCAGAGAGTCAGGGCCGAAGGCTGACAGAAGAATAGCAGCAAAAGTTAAAGGGAAGATTTAAGACAGTGGTGACACCTGCTACTGGACACGGAGATAGTCGCTGTGAAAGTTGAAGGCAGATGATCCACTGTGGCGCCCCCTGAAGGGAACAGCCATAAGAAGAAGACAAATATATTTCTGTCTTTCACCACACTTGAATCCACACCACAATAAAGTTAAACAAGAGCAAAGCCTGAAAACAACGAGCATCGACGTCTTTGGGCGAAGATGAAAACACAGTAAAATGGTTATCATGCGTTCAACAAGTAGAGCAAATGAAATCACTAGAATTTTCAGATATTATGTTTTGCTAAGGCTGTGTTGCCAGGTAAATGAGTGAATTATTTTTCCAAAACATTTTTTTTTTACCGATGGTATTTGGTGTGCAGGCATGGAAACTTAACTGTATGTATGTCAGTAGTCAATGATCAAAACAATCATCTAGAGCAGTGGTTCTCAAACTGTGGTCCGCGTACCACCGGGGAAAATTCATATTTTCACATTTATATTTTCAACTGAATAAATCTGAAACATACCACGTACAATTAATACAACATTTAGAAAAAATGTGTAGCTACTTGTGAGATTATGAACTAGGAAGCTAACAGTGAAGGCCTCTGCTGCTGTGTTCTAATGTTGGTCATCATGGTGGGACTCAGAGAGATCAGTGTTTTCTCAGCTGGTACAGAGGATAAGAAGTCTGAAAACCACTGGTCTAGAGGAGAGTTAACTGGGCAACTACGAACTGCACAAATGCTTAGAAGACGCCGTTTCTTTGGGAGTATCGAACCACACAAAAGTCACATAGTGCTGCTTCAAGATACTCTCTTAACTTCTTGGCTATATTTAGTTAGTCAGTCAGGGCAGTGGTGGCCTGGGTGCTGTAGGAAGCGGACTTGTGTCTGGAAGGTCGCAGGTTCGAATCCAGCAGCCACCAGGTGCCACTGAGGTGCACTGCGCATGGCACCATCGCCACACACTGCTCCCTGGGCGCTCTGCTTGAGCTGCCCCCCGCCCGCACCCCCCGCCACCTGCTCACTAAGGTTGATGGGTTAAAGGCAGAGGACAAAGGTCACCGTGTGCAGTGGTGTGCTGCGTCACAATGACAATAAATCAATTTCAATTTGAGGTTTTGAGCAAAGATATGTAACGTCAACTCGTCCAAGCGTTGGTTCGTAGAGACAACTGGTTTTCAATCATCAATTATTTCTTAAATAAATGGAAGCATTAAAGCAAATAAAGGAAGAACCTATTTGGATTCCCAGGGATTTGTGACCTTATAATGAGGGAAAACTACCTAAAAAAATAGATCCTTCAATATTTTAGTCTCCTAAACTTAGTTGTCTTCTTCATCGCTGTCCTTCATTGAAACTCCTTGCATCCCTCCTTCCCTCACTGTGGCAGTGGCCTCCTCCACGGTCAGCCGGATCCTCACTGTTTCGTACATCTTGCAGTTTAAAGTAGAATCCAACACCCCTTGAAGGCGGAAATCACGGTACATTTTCTGCCAGGGAGACAGGAAGTATCTGCGGTGAGGTAAACTGGACACATAATCACACACACATATATAAGCACAGAACGGAGATTCAGCTTTATGGGTTGAATGATTCATCAAATGATCACGGAGCAGGTGTGATGCAGTGATTCGTGTCAGACTATATTTGGTTAATATGACAATGTTAAAAGTAACACATAATTAAGCCTCAGAGTGAATGTGAAAAAAACCCAACCACAAAGGTATTGATATTGATGGTAGTGATTGGACGTCACAAAGGTGACGTCCAATCACTGGTAGGACAGCAGAGCTTCCACAAGAGCTGAGAGAGGAGATGATTTCATCACACCTGAAGGGCCAGAGTATAAAAACATTTCTACAGAAATTAACCCTCCCCTGTTCCAGGATTTGCATAAGACTTTGGGGACAGTCCCTTGAACTGATTCAATCAAACTGGAACTGTTGGTAGACGTTGATGAGCAGGACCCTAACATTCGTCAGAAGGTATAAAAGTTAAAGCAGAGGGTTTAAAACCTGGACCTCCTTCATTCAAGGCAGACACTGGTTTACTTAAAGCACAAGTGGACCTTAACTCTAACCATAATCCTAACCCTAATCTTATACTTCAGCTGATTGGGTGCCCGGCTTCATCTCTCCTTCAGTTCTGGAGGTCTTAAAATATGATGACGACCCCTGAGCTCAAGGATCAAGAACATTCCATCACAGGAAGAGGGTGAGGTGAAGTAACAATTACACATTGGACCTTCACCAAACGACTGAAGCCAGAAGAAGAGACCGGGAAGAGTGCAGTAATAAACACAACATCGACAAACGATCCATCAACAGACTTGACGCTAATTTTGAGCTAACGACTTAGCTGAAACCATACCAGACACATACAGACCTTCACAATCCTGATCAGAGTCTTGAGCTGATATATGTGAAGCTGAAGGTCCATGCGATCTGTCAGCCATGTTCCTATGAGGTTCATGCTGCTGGTGTACCATTGCTGCAACACACAAAGACAACGTACGCATTATCAAATATTCACCTGTCTTTCATAATGATTTTATGCAGAACATATACTGTACATGCACAGTATACATCACAAATGCAGAACATATACTGTACATGCACAGACATCACACATATTTTATATACGTTATGTACACACACGTGAAAAGAAATGGTTACACAGGTATACAATACATTTGGTGCATGTATATTTGTACTGCTTTTTTTTCCTGATGTATTTTAAACATCAATTGAGTTCCGCCTGCTCTAAGAGACATTTTTTGTTGGTCTCACAGCCCGATCATTCAGTCAGTAGATGAGACGAGTCAAATGTAGCGCTAGCTGAGAATTACACACAGGACTTACAGTACACTGAGGAACAAGCACAGTGCACAGCGCACAGACGAGGTGGGAAGTGAATAAGAGAAGGGTGTATATATAGACTCAAAGGTGGAAAGACAACGGGGAGCTTTGAAAGGTATTTGGATTGAAAGGAAACACAGGAAGGCAGGTGAAGGAGAGACGGAAAGAAAGAGAGAGAGAGAGAGAGAGAGAGACTGGCAGGGGGAAATCTCAGTAGGCATGGCAGTGAGATTCGTAGGCTCTTTCCAAACAAACATCATTGGCCTACTCTTCACGCAACAGAGTTTTTATATATACACATACTGCATGTGTATATATATTTTTTTCACTTTTCTCTTCAATGAAACACACAACAACATACAACAAATATAGTTCAAATATTTATATCGTTCCATCTAACGTTGTTACCACCGTGTCCCAGGACATGTTAAAAGTTTTATTGGGAGATTGATTTGTCCAAATCCCCAGTTTCCTACAAGAGCAGATACAACCTCCTAATGTAGGTCAAGCTCAATAAATGGATCATGGGTGGAAGAGAAGATGGCAGAGTGGAGGCACTGCTGGGGTGAATCAGTGAGGCGACCTGGTGCCAGCAGTGTTCTATCCATCCTTGTGTGCCTGTGAAGGCTTTAGCATGGCAGCAGGCCTGCGATCTCGCCCCGAGCACAGAACCCTGCTGAGAGGCCAGGCCTAGAGTGACTGATCCACTGATGGGCTGCTCATCTTTTATCTATTATCCAACCTCGTCCTTCATTTTACACTGTGCCACACGGGTCCCATCTGGAGCCATTTCTTTGCCCCGTGCTTTCTTCCTCTTCCTTCACAGAGATGCTCGACAAGCCCTCGGTCCCCTGACTGAAATCTTTCAGATCTGTCGAGGACATACTGCATACATATAATGTCTGGTATTTTCATTACCTATAACAGGCATGGGCAAACTTTTATACCCACGGGCCACAATGAGTCCTAAGATAGATAAAGAGTTTGTATGAACACAGACAAATAACATGTAAAAGTACATAAATGCTAAAATGTCATAATTTAGAGGAAATGCAGTCACTGTGGGGAAAAGGCAGAAGTATGTTAGAAATCAATAACATAATTTAGACAAGTTCGGTGGATCAGATTAAAAAGCAAAATGGGCCACATCTGGCCCCCGGGCCACGCCTAACATCTACAATATTAACAGTTACTGAAGATATAAGTGCTGAATTCAACTTTACTCAAGTTTCCCAAATTATTTAAAGTAATCCAACGCAGTTAAAGTAACTGTTGTAATAAGTAATAATAACCAACAATCCTATTGATCTGAGCTGCACTGGTGGACGCCGCCCATTTACCTGATCTTTTTGAATAACTAGTTTCATACAACCGAAGCCACGACTCAATGGTTTGAAACCATGTGGGATAACAGCGAGAGGCTACAAGCTAGGCTAAAAGCTTGTGCTACCTGACGACGGTAACCCAGCCTGCTGTGTCGACGACATGATGGCCAACGTGAAAATCAGGGACTTCTCCAACCAGAAACACTGGATTACCAATCAAAGACGACGCGTGCTGCGTGTTTGCTCTGTTGATAAAAAGATACAAAGTAAACACCGAAGACGGTGATCCCGGCAGCCAATACAGAGCCAAGGCTGACGGCCTCCGCTCTACCACCATTTCCGGGGTGATGTAGCAGAGCCGGCAGCTTATCACCTACTAGTGAACCAGTGACACCAGCAACAGCAGCACGGCAGGCAGCCTCCCGGATGATCTCAGTGCCTTCACTGTGGAGAGTCTGCCACCACGGTCTCTAACCGGCTCACCCCCAGCATGGACTGTTCACACTTTTACCCTGAGGGCCAGAGGTACAGAAGTGTCAAATTCATTGACTTGACAACTTCATTTCCCTGTCTCTCATCAGAGTTTAATCATGGACTGTACAAGGCTGATATACGTGTGCTGTCTTTGGTGTATTTCCTGCGTGCACATTATGATGCTGTCACACACGTGTTCAGTGGCTCAATATCTGTGTTCTGTATCATATTAAACTACGCAATTGTTATTGAGTAAAAGTTGTTTTATTTTCACACGCTGCTTTCAATGCATTACTGTTTTTATTTTTATTTATATATTATATAATGTCAGAGTTGTGTCATAGGGTATTGTTTTTTAACTTTATTTAATGAATAATAGTCTCATATATAAGTGTATACAGTGTGTACTGTGTGTATACAAAACAAATATCTACTGTTGTTCAATATGAAACAGTCAAGTGACATCAGACTCATTAGACTGGTATAATTAAAATTGCTCACTTAGACATATTATGAAAAATCCCTAGTACTAATTCTTAACCACAAACGCTGCATTCAGAGTGTGCAAATAAAAACAGCAATACTGCAAAACATTTGTCTGGAATATTACTGAATTTTCAGTAATTAAAATATTCTGTCTTTTCATTTTCAGAAAGACCATTCACTGCCACCATTTTCTTTGGCCATCTTTGACTTGTCTCTTCAGTTTGTGCTGAAGTCATTTTCAATCCTGAATTCCCCATAAAAACATTTACAGAGTGATCTCGTCACCTCTCCACACACTTTCTTCAAAATGGTTGTTTAATATGAAACACCTTCAGAGTTGACTCTCGTTAGTCTCATTAGAATTATGACACTGCGTCATCTGAATGTCCACAGTCGGGACACCCTGGTTGAGCTCTTTAAGAACGGACAGTGAAACCCCTGACTCCATTGTTCCTGATGGCTGGACCCAACAAAAGAGAATTATCAGAACAGATGAATACATCCGAGCTCTCATTTTTAGGCTGCCTGGGGATCAGCAGGGGGCTAGCACTTGCTGACAGCCAAAACAAGTGTAACATGGCTCTGAATACTTAATGCCATAACCCGACACGGATCAAATCTGTGACATTCTAGCAAGTTCCATCTGAAGGAAGAGCTTGACTTTCTTCAAATGGATTAACTATATATTTGTGTGTTCTTGTTCACCTCATGACACACTGATGAGCCCCCACCTCTACACGGACCCCCTGCACATTTACAACTTTCTAATATGCACGCTTCTTACATGCATTCATGTAAATCCATGCCGGCCCATCCCCCATCAACAGGGTGCCAGAAGAGAGAGCGACCTCCTGCCCCTATGTGACACCAACCCACCCATCCTATGAAAAACCCACACCCACCTACCACCACCACCACCTCCACTTCAACACACACACATAACTTGCTCTGAAGCCAGCATTCACACCCAGGTCTTCACACAGCGCTTGGCGGAAGCAGCTTGCCACCAGCAGGATTTGTTGCAAAAATGACACACCTCTTCACCCACTCTGCATCACCCTACTCACCTCTTTCATGACCCTTTTGCATGCATTACCTATGGGGTGTCAAGAGAGAGCAAGCGTATTCATATTTGACGGCAACCACAGACGGCAGAGGAGGGTTAGCAAGGTTGACTGTGGAACGACGGCTCTGTGTGTAGACAGACAACCTGAAATGTATGAATTGTAATGAATTTTCTGGTAAAACCAAACAGACACCGTTTGTTGGAGGCTCTAATACGGGGGTCTCCAACCTTTCTGAGACTGAGAGCTACTTCAAGGGTACTGAGTACTACAAAGGGCTACGAAGTAAAAACTCCTGAAACATTTTTAAACTTTATCCTGTTTGCATTGGAGTCTGGAAGATGAAATAATATCTTTAAATGAAGAAAAGTAACTGGATTGTCTTGAAATCACTGTGGCCTGCTACCAAATGACCCATAGACCAGTACTGGTCAGGAGGCCGGGGACCCCTGCTCTGAACTACAGCAAAGTGTCTGGTTCTAAGAGGCTTCAGTAAATGTAACTTGTTGTAGTCTGTCAACGTCTTACAGGTTGTGGACATGTTGGGGGATGAAGCAGAATGAATTTACAGACTAAGGTTTGAGGCTGAACAAATCTGAAGATCTGAAGAAGTGTTTTTACTGTGACCACAGTTTAAAGTAATGAAGGAAGGAAACAAAATAAACTCACTGGTCATTTAAGGGAGGTGGGCTTGTAAAGGACAAGAGGCAACTGAGAGGCAAACACCTGGTGGAAAAAGTGTGTTTTTTTTCTTAGGCTCACATTTTCTTCCAGGATGGTAGTGTCTCTTACGCCACAACATCACAGAAAAGTGACTAAGAAGAAGAAGATGAAAACATGGTGGTCTGGAGGGGGCTGTGTGTATATTTGGGTTGGTAGGGCTAAGGGCTGGGGGCTAATGTTGTGAGGAACTAAATAGTTGGGATTACCATCAGTGACCATTCATTGAGTAAACACACAATGAGCCACAAAAAAGCTCCGCAGTGGACAATAAAACGAGGGAAAAAAAAGCTACCAGCTTTGGGCCCCAAGAAAAGCCATTCTATTTACAAAGAGCCGCTTAGAGGTAGACTGAGGAACGAAAAAGAGGGCTAAAATACTAGTGGGCTCAGAAAACTCTATGGGGTGGTGGAAATGGAATAGGCCAGCAAGCACTTGAGGGTCCTGCTGAGCACATGAATTGGACGGAGGGGAGGATTGTCAGAGGGGGGTCTGTAGAAGGTGAATTGGCTTCTTTTTGGGTCCAATTTGTCTCTTTTCACCCCACTCACCCTGCTTTGGCTCCGGCAAATGTATAAAGAGGGAGCGACACTGGGCCACTCACCTGCTTACGCCTATGAACAGCTGTCACTTTTGTCAGACAAGTTAATCACACAAATGCCACCGAACCTCCCTTTTAGCGAAGAGGAGGGAAACAGAGAAAGGAAGGGGCTGTAAAAGGGTAATAGAAACCTAAGAGAAGACATTGGTCTTCAAAAAATTCAACGCGCCGGCCTTAATCAATAAGCCAGCAAGACCTGACAAAGAATAAGTCTCCATTAAACTTCCATTTGGCTCCTTTTGTCCAGAACGCAGCATTAATACCTTGAGCTGCAACAAGGCCCTGGGAATGCTCATGGACACGCTCGGGAGATGAGGCAAAGAAAACATTAGTGATTACTAAACACTCTGAACCTGAACATCTGTTATGTCAAATTTGGTCTATACAACTATTAACTATTAGTGGCCTCTTCCTTCTTCCTTTTGCATTTATCAAACAACAGGGACATTTTGATTATGAGGTTTTTACAGCTTATTTTCTGTGTAATCCCAGTAATCAGTGCATTCTTGTCCTACATATTTTAAAAAAACAATCCACTGGTAAAGCAAGAATATTTTGGAGGTTTGATTTACATAAATAAATGAGTCAACATCATTCGTACACACTGACATCAATGTTGAGTTTTCTGCATAGATACTTCTAACTGCTACTGCCTAAATTAAATTCTTTTAAAAACTCATATTCAATGGCAGTCCAGAAAAAAAAAAGATTTATATCTTTTCTGTTTTATACCTTCCATTTGTACAGTACAACATCCCATAATTATCTACCATTAATCTACGTAAGTAGTTTTTCAGTCCCAACCACTGGTTATCACTGAAGACACAAAAATCATTTTTTAGAGCGAGGTCACGAGGTCAGAGAAGATTGTACTGAGGCTATCTGCAGAGTTCATTTGAAAACATATTAAAAAACTATTTTATTGGTCTTCAATGTTGTTGTCATTATTTCTCCCTCTTAGAACTGAACATCTGCCGGACTGTTGACATGAAGTGGCCGTGTGGCTAACAGTGTGGCTGACAGGATGGTAAAGAAGTAGGACGGCAGCATCATAACCCCCCAAAATACCTCCATGATACCCCCCCCCCCCCCCCCCCCACACACACACACACACACACACGCCAATGACCAAAGTACTGAAACTGTAAAAACAACCGTTTGCTGTGACCTGCCTCTCCTCTCCTTATTCATGGACCACTTGGTAAAACCAGCCTGACAGTAGAACGGCCACATCACAAAAGGACTTTCATTACGCAGACGTGTAATCACGGCAGGCTTGTTAATCTCAAAACTACCCAAGGTCAGAGAAAATAGTTCAAATCAATCAATGAGTTGCACTCCTAATCCCCTCCATCTGAAGGCAGATTAAGCGTATAATTGATCTGTGTAATCCCAGTATTTCCAGTGAGCTTAGTTGTGGGGGAGGGTGTGTGTGTGTGTGTGTGTGTGTGCGCCGGGACTTGTTTTAATTTAAAAAGATGATTTCATTGTTTTTCTTTTCCTCTCTCTCCGTCTCTGCTCTTCATACCTCATGTCTTTGTGGTTTATCTATCACAACTAGATTTGGCCGAGGCTGAAGATGTGATTTTTTTTAATCAGTAATCCCCCGGGCTCTGCCATGCTAAGTCGCCCCTCAATATCATTTAATCACATCCGTTTTAATCCGTGCCTTTTAGCCACCCACAGGGAGGGGATGAAGACAGAGGGTGAGAAAGAAAACCATTTTAAGTTCCTTTTCTGTCTCGCCACCACACTGACTCACACTCACACACACACACACAATAAATAAGATGTTCTACAGAAACCCCCAAGATTACACACTACCATATATTTCAGTGAAAGAATCGCTGACAAACTTTTCGTTTTCTAATTAGCAGTCAGTTTGATCCCCAGTGAGGACCTGCTCACCTTGATATTTTGGAACCTTTTAATCCACTTCAACCTTGTGCTGTCGCTTAAATACACATTTTAGCTTCATTCTGTGTATAACGGTGCTAAGGCTAACATAAAAAAAGTAAACAGCCATTATCATAGCCAACAGTTTAGGAAGAGGGAAAACATTCAGCAGCAACGCTAATCTGAACAACTGCATCTTAAATTCCTCCAGTAGTGAACCAGGAACCTTTGGTTTCCTTGGATACGGTTGCTCGTTTGTTTTTAATCACTTTGGAGCAGCGCTTCATTTTCAAACTCTTTTTCAAAACAGTCTGAAAATGCAATCGAAATCTGTAATCTCGTTATGTGCAACTTTAGGGGAATTGGACGATTGAACGACGATGTACTTTACTTCTACATTGTACAAAGATATAAAGGCTTTAATCCCATCAAGACGAATATTTAAAACGTGCTTGAAAATAACGTGGAATGTGTTTTTATTGTTTTTAAAAGACAAAGATTATCTGAAGCTGTAAAATATCATTTCCAAGCCTGTATTTTCTTCCTAGTTGCTGGCTTTACTTTGTTGTTGTTAGACCTTTATTGTATATGACGACTTTACATTCTACAGGACAGAAAAGCAAAACTCTACTATTGTCTTTGTGTACTGTTATAAAGAGTAATAAAGACCATCCATTCAGACTGGAGTCTGAGGGAAGACCTGGTCTGACAGACCCAGGTGTTGGAGGGGAACAGTATGGATCCACTCAAGGTTTTTATGGTGTGTTCAGGGTGTTTAGGGTGAACATCTCAACAGCCATTTTCTCTACTCCTCCAACCACATGAGTAACAAACAGACCCCAGAGTCCCACTGATCTGAGGTCAGGTTTCTGAGGAAGACGTCAGAGGTGTCCTGATCTTGAACTGCCTCTCTACCAAGAAATATATAATAACTTGTAGAAGGATAACTTCACCGTCACGTAGGAAGTATTCAAATGATAAAGTGAGAAAGTAATGGCTTACAGCGGAAAACTGCAAAGAGAGGTGATAGTTATTATATTATTCACGTATATATTAACTCTTTATGAGGCATCGTAAGGTGTGAAATATATATACTTTTAATTTATTTTTTTTTACCATTTGTTTTACTGTTTTTTTTCTACGTAGGCTAAAAAAAGAAGGGAGAAGAAGAAGAATTGGAAATTTAAAATGTTTTTTATAGGTACCGCACAAAAACATGATAGAGCGTAAAATCCGCAATACGAGAACACGTACGTACACGCCCGACAGCCAGTCGTGATACAGCGAGGGGCGACTGTACTGTAATGCATATACTGTATACTAACTGGGGAAGGGTTAGGAACTTTATAATGAGTGGCGGTGCGATAGATTACTCACATCGAACAATCTTTCCACGTACACCTCCTCGTTGACCTTCTCTCTCAGCATGTCCTGGGAATAACGAAGAAACGCTACGTAATTGTCGGCCAAATCCATCCCAGGCTTCTGCAGTGGACAAACACAGACAAAAAGATAACAACATCTAAACTGTATGTCACTGCAGCTGAGTCATACAAACCAACTAGTCAGTGTAAATAATACAAATAAGTACTTTAAAAAAGACTGACTACTCAGCTCTGTCACTCATCATCACTAACTACCAAGACAAATCGTGTGTAGAGTGTTTGGCAGCACCTCAGCACACAGAGAAGCCACGGGTCATTCTGTTGAACTTGTAGTTAGAAGATGACGTGAGTTATTCTCTTTCATATAGATGCAAATGAACAAAATGAAAAGGACAAATCGACAGAGGAAAACTCATGTTGTCTTTTGGGTTTTTTAGTGAGATTGCTTGGCCTTTTTCTGACAAACAAAACAAACAAACAAAAAAAAAACAACCCACCATTCATCTCTGTTTCTACTGTTTAACAGTAGTTAGGTGTTTCAAAAGGAGAAGTCTCACATTCACAGGACTAGTCTTAGATAACACGTCTGCAGTCATGTGTAAATGAGTGTCCTTTTCACCAGTCAAAATCTAATCTTGGACATTAAGGACATAATTAACAAGCTGGGCTGGAACCAAGACCTTTGCCAACGTAAACAGTGCCTTGTCACATTCACTGACATTGTACTTATTTGAAATTTTACATTACTGAAGTGGCCAAAGTGTTGTCAGTTAATACACATCTTAGGCACCGTTGTATTCACACCTACTCAAAGCAAATGAAGGACGTTGGTTTGGAAAATATGTCAAAGGTCAATTTATATTAATAATGTTTAATGTGACATTTAATGAAAAAAACCCAAAACATTTGTACAAATCTAAAAGAAAAACTACCATTCTACCCAGCTTATCTCAAAATGATCCTAAAATGTCAACCAAAAACCATAAAAGTTCTTTCTTCTTTACAGGTGTAAAATATGTAAAAGTAAATATTACAAACTTACAGGCACATCCACGTACTTTGCAGCAGCTTTCACCTTGACAGAAAAGAGAGAAAATAACATTCAAATAATGATTGGCACAATATTCAAAACAATGACAGCACATAAATACATGTTTCACTTCTTGCAAAATTTCTGAAAGAAAACTGCACGAACTAGATACTTACTGTAAACGATAAGAAGGAGGAGAAAAGTGTTCCTTCATCGTATCTGGACAGTTTGACTAACACACTCTCTAGAATGACGACAAACTGAGATCCAGGGGAAGGAAACAGAGTCATTTGAAACGCATGTTACATTCTTACAATTATAGTAAATAACAAAGATATTTACAAAAAAGAGCATGTTAAAAATGAGCCTCTTATTAGTGATCCCAAGAGTGTGTATGGAGTGTACGTTGCTTTTCGTTACCTTTGCCACAATCAGAGTGATCATTTCCTTAACCATCTCCTCAATAAGATTGTCAATCTGGGAATGGTACTGTCTCTACAAGGAAAAACAACAGCACATCACACACGTCATTAACTGTACTGTCAGTGAAGAGATCATTTTGATGTCAGACTAATGTGTGTAGCACTTTGATCACAAGGCGGTTACATGCTTTGGAAAGTCTGTCCATAATATACACAGATTAGGTTGAATGGAGAGCCTGACCATAAGTCAAAATGGTGATCGCTTGTATGCAGCCCTGTAACTGACTACTGCCCTCTTCAGGCTGTCCTACACCCCCGCCCGCTGACAGATTCATTCATGTTGCCTTTGAGTATCTCATACTTCCTGTCCTTGGTCCATGGCACCGAGCTTAGCTGACTGGACTCTCGCATCTACCATCACATTGAACATGGTGCAGATCGACTGAGGAACGCGGAAGTCTGTGGCTCGACTGGTTCTCTGCAGCTTGGCTTCGAATGCAGCCCTGGTCCTTTAGAAAGAGAAAGAATTTAAAAGACGACTTTAGACCAACATTTTCCAGTAAAGCTGTTTTGTTGCAATAAAAAAAAGAGACTTTTAAAAACCCAAAGTGTCCTCAAGGTCTACTCTTTAGTCTTTCAATGTAGTACTGTAATGTTTTCAGAATCATCGTTATGCTTGTTCAAGTTAGATGACCAGTTATGTGGTCATCTAAGACGTTACGGGTGGGTGTGACTTTGTTACCGTTTAACACAGGACTCGATCATATCACTGGACATGAGCTTAAGCCGTGTCTCCAGGTGTTTTCCAAACTCCTCCTCAGGCCAGTGTAGGTCTCTGATGAAGGTCTGCAGGGCGTCCAGCTTCCAGAAGAGGTCCTCAGAGGTCCCTGAACCATTACTGCAGGACGGGAGTTAAAAATCAGAGACAGTAGTTAGACGTGCTGTCCGAGTGGCTAATGGGTTCAAAGTAGGCGTGGTTACATCAGGAAGCAGCAGCAAGTGGAAAGATAAAGCTGGGTCAACCATCCAGAGTAATGGTGTGTATGGGTGTAGGCAGATAGAATGGATGGAGACGAGTGTCAGGTGTGATTCCTGACAGAGGAACAGCAGCAAAGTTAAAAGGATGATTCAAAAGACAGCAGTGAGACCTGCTCTGCTGTATGGTTTAGAGACAGTGGCTGTGGCTAAAGGACAAAAGGCTGGAGTTGGAGGTGGAGGAGACGAAGATGCTGAGACTTTCTCTGGGAGTAAAAGGCATGAGCAGATCAGAGGGACAGTTAAGGTGGTATTTTTCGATAAACCAATGGTTGACTGTTACATGGTTACAATACTAGTTATTAGTTCTTCATTGAGGGTTCAAAGCCCAAAGTCCACTCCAGCACTTTGTTCACTAACATGGTCTGCACTGGGATCGTCGATCCAACTGACATCTCTCAGTTAGTAAAGGTGACAATTTATGCACACTATCTTGTCATTCACACACAAAAAACCATTAGCGGGATAGAGTGTGCGAATGTGTGACAGTGAGAGCACTGTAAGTGCTGTGAGTGAAACAGAGGACGGGACAATGTGCTCAGAAATACAGCGCAGTCGTTTGGTAGTGTACATTTTGTTTACAGTTAACAGCATCCAAGTGTTTCCACACAAATTAATGACTTCGTAGGGAGTGCATTTTCTCAACAACAGTCACATCGATAAAATGGTTCGAAGCAAAGCAATAGTTTTATCCAAAACAATAATTCATTTTTGGATGTTGTTATAAATCTGTTAGATGTCCACACAGTCATCACCTTTTCTTCAAAACGCCAATGAACATTTCCTAAAAAAATATCATCACCCGAGGAAAAGATGTGACAAAATAACACTCAAATGACAACATATTAAAAATGAAATTAATCCGATTGGCCGCCTAACTCGGTGCCGCAAGAAGGGACCTGACCCCACACACTGAGAACCACTGTTCCGATGTTGTCCCTTTGTTGAAGTTACCGATTGGCCGCCTAACTCGGTGCCGCACCACTGTTCCGATGTTTGCTCTCTTTGTTGAAGTTGTATATTCAGATGTATTTATATTGATTTGTGTGAAACACAGACTTCATCTATTTTCTCTGACAATGATAAGAACTAACTAATGTTTACACGTGCCATGCTTTCACTCTCAGCATGCCCACATTTGGCCAATCAGATGCAGCCCTGGACACATGGGCCATGCATGTACACTGCTTAGCCAATCAGATGACAGCCAGCACCAGGTGGTCAGAGGAGTAAAGAGAATGGAGAGCAGAGTTTCATATTTCTGTTGGAGTGGAACATTTTATTTCCAAGATATTTTTGCTTTGTTTTTGTTGTGAGCAGAGAAATCAAACTTTCTATAGGGTTTGCAAATATTATTAAATCAGTGTCAAAGAGTCCTTACTGTTAATGACACAATATTGCGATAAGAACTCATTAATTTTATCCTTGTTTCAGTCCTATCATATTTGCAGACATCTCAAAGGTCAGGGAGTTATTAAACATAAAGAGACAATGAAACAGCAGCTCTTCTGTTTCTCTCCTAAGACAAATTTAGGCCTGGTATCTTCCATCATGTTTCTACCAGATCCCAGATGAGGGAATAGGAGCGGATTGGCTGTGGTGACAGCCTCACACTCTGTGGGATGTTGCAACATATAAAGACGCTTTTACACCTCCTACCCCTGAAGTTGGTTAAGATTTCACACAAGTTTGTACAGTGCTATAGATTGTGTCAAGTGTCAGAATATGTTGTTTAAATCTAAATTTTGTAGACACACACCATATATACATATATATACATATATATACACACACACACATATATATACACTATATATATATACGTATATATATATATATATATATATACTGAGGCATAACAGTACAGAAAAGCCACCATTGTGTACATACCCTGGTGTACATGGATATATATACATTTATACATATATATTTAAACATATATAATATATATTATAGTCAACAATAATGATGTATATAATACATTTATTGTTATTACAATTTTAATGAATGCTAATAATTCTGCATGTTCTTAAATTACTTGTTTAGCCTCACATTAAAATAACATTTGTTGATATGAGATTTTGGACCATATCTGCAGGTATGCCACCAAACACTGAACAGTCAGTGAGTCACACCACACAAAGCTGTTACCACTGCTTTTTAAAAAAGGGAATGACAACTAGCATATGTCTCCTGTAGGGAGTCTGGAGAACGCACTGAGCTCTTTGTTCTGTCAACATCCCATTCCTGGGGAGGGAGGGAGCTCAGACACACACCGGTAATTATTAGGAGCAACTGTTCACAAATGAAACAAATATATTCATAGTGAAGTTTACTTATGTGGTACCAATACTATTCTTAAATAAAACATCTGGTTTTGAAAGTGAAGACGGTCTGAAGGCTAGGTTTAAAGCTAACAAAAGAAACATTTGACAAGTCCTGCCATTCAAACAGGTTAAACTGCTGTAGAGTAGCAGCACACGTACAGTATTCCATAGGGTCCACATCACAATACTGCTTTTGAGTTTTTATTTATTTACTAAATCAGGTAAATCAATGTTCTACTGTAGCTAGCGTAGTTAGCCCAAGCTTTAATAACATTAGCCATTCTTACTTGACTGGTTCCCAGGACTCCCTCTCAAAGCCTCTGTAAATGGACTGTGCGATGGACGACTCCATTAAGTCCACATATCGGACCACCAGGGGCGCATACAGGTCCTGCAGATGTTTGTGGAACTTCCCGTTGCACAGATTGTCTGAGAAAAGAATAAAATATATAGACCTCAAAGCACAGAAATGACAAATCATTAATGGGGACAACGGCAGAAACTGAATTCATTTGATTAAATCAGGCCCTGAATTAGTTTTTATTTCATAGGTACTGAATTTTTTTCATAATTTTTCCTTGAAACTAGACACAGCTCAGGCCATAGGCATGTAGTTTAGGAAGCGAAAGAAAATCCTTATTGGAGTCTAGTTGCGATTATTATAAGAAAGTTTAAAAAAATATATAATTCATACATCAAAGACCTGTAGCACCCAGTCTACTGCCTGACTGTAAAACAATTAAAAAAAAATCAACAAATAATAATTAAAAATAATTACATTAAATAAATGATATATTTCAAGGCTTCAACACCATACCCTCTGATCGCTGTACCTTTTTGCCTTCTCACAAATCAGTCAATGTCAGTGACTGAAAGATACTACTGTGTGTTTGATGTCCTTCTTGACTGTCACCCCCCCCAAAGACACACACACACACCCAACTCAGCCACTTGAGAGGCTGCTGTCCACTTGGATGTGTTGTGTCCAGGAGTGTGTACCCAGGGCCTGCTGCGTCCAAAGCCAGTATTGCTGGGGACATCATTAACTCGTGAAACGGCAATGTGACTTTGAAGCCTGTGTAGTGCCAAGGATATTTACAGCTGCAGTATATTAGCACGCTCCTTGGGGCACCAACCTCTACTGAAGATGTTTCAAATTGGTTGAGCATTTTGCATGAACGGTCGCAGATGTGAAATCACCACAATAGGAAATTAGACTGGATGACAGTCCAGCAGTAGCATCGATATGAACGAATGAATGAAATGATTTGTACATCCCTTTATTCATTCCACATCATCGTCTTGGTAGATACGAACAAGTAAGATGATTCTGATGAATTTTTCCATATTAAAATGCATTACTTCTGAACAATGTTCTTAGAGCTGTCCATGAGCTACAGTGCGTTCTCTCCGATGCACTCAAGGAGCCAATTTCACGCCACAGCACTAATGAGTGAGCCCTACGACACAGACTCCAGCTCGTTAGCTGAGCTGAATGAAATGAGTGGACTGCATTCTCTGTTCTCCTTGACAATGAGCGATCGACAGATCCAGTCCACACTGTGAAGACGTTTTAATGGACAACACCGCGGCCGCGATGCAGAGAATAAGGGCCAGATATTGGTCCAATTCTGGACTGCTAACGAAAACAGTAGAACATGAAACAGAAACAATGGAAACAACAGAAAGACACGTTTTTGATGTAATCAGAGTATTTTTGCTTTGAGATACGAGCACGCTTACGGAGGCCAACGCTAGGTGGCCGAGCACTCGCAGCAGCCCTCACCGCCTCACCTGTTCACTTCATGTGTTCGTCGACTTCCGTACGTATCTCCCACGAGTATATAACAGAATATATAATCAACAGAAAGCTGTGGAATATTCCAGATGTATCATGTTAACTCTGACTATGATTACTCACAATTAACCAACACGCCTCTAAATAACTCTTGAATATAAATCCCTATGTTTCTGTATATCAGAGGGAGAGAGTGAATTATAGCAGGTAAATATGTGTTCCACTCCTTTATGTTTGTGACTTCATCCAAACAACGGCTTTGTGCTTGAATGTTAAATACCGACTTGTCAAAACCACTATACTCTTATTCTACATTTACCAACAGACTTTTATATATTTTTTTATTACTCACAGTCCGTCCTAAGGAAGTCGTTGAGCAGCTGAAAGAGGGGGAAACTGTCCCAGCTGTCAGGAGGCTGAACTTCAAGAGCAGCGTCCATGTCAGCTGAATACAAGCACAGGAACGTCTCGGCGTGTTCCATCATCAGGTCGGACCACCAGGCGAAGGCCTTCAGAGACAGGAACGATGGAGAAAACATGGGTGGGTAATCAAACCAAGAGGCAGGCGATGACAGAAATTAGACAAATTAGACAAAGAAAAGAAATCTCACTGCGGCTCAGGGGACGTGTACAGGGCTTAACAGTTTAAATTCCATTTATCAGAGAGCACAGGATGCTAAGTAGAGTGACACGAGGGTACTGTGAGGGTTCTTGGCGTTCACACTTCTTCTCTTGTTTTATATATCTGAGCTCGAGTTGCTTTAACGACTTCACTGCATGATTCTCTGGGGAAAGACTCTTCACAGCTCAAAGCATGAAAACACACTGCTTAGGCACGGAAAATCACACACTCCTCTGTAGGCCCACAGAGGAAACAGCAGCAGCTCCTCTACAGACGTGGCAGGGAGCTACTTACATTTTCACTCCCCACTCCTTCAGTGACATGTCTCCATTGAACAGATGGAGTGAAGTGACTATGCAGGGACCCAGCTACTTCCCTGCACATGAGAAACACTCAGTTTCCTCCATGTACCATCCACGTTGTTGTGCCTCTTGATGGGGATCCTTCAGCGACCTCGGTGTTTACTCACTCACTCACAACAAGCTGTCAGGACTGTAATGTAAATGAACCCCTGGGAGACCGCGTGTTGGCATTGTTGCCTTTGCAGTTCGGTTCTTGTGACGGCTAGTTGACAATAAGTCAAAGGCGCTCGTAATCATCACGTTTACACTTGAAACAAAGTGTTGATGATTGAGTCAGGGCGGCATCGAGTGTTAAAATCAGAAGGCAGCACAAATAAGACCAGTTCAAACCAGGATACCAAAACAGTGACGACTGACACCGATATTAAAATCTCAACATGTCTTCATGCTACTTCAATATGAATGAAAAACACAAATAAAGAAGGAAGGTAAGTGTACTGATGGTTGGGCCGAACAGTTCATGTCCCTGTACAATGTATTTGCACAGGCAGTCTAAGGTCACCACCACCTAAGTCATATGTGTCAAACTTAAGGTCCGGGGGCCAAATGCGGAATGCACCCCCGATCTGTACAGTCTTCCATTGACAACCGGCCCTTCAAGGGGAACTGTATTGCTGATGTGGCCCCCGGTGTATATGGGTTTGACAGCCCTGACCTAAGGAAAGACAATGTATCTCCATTCTCTGGTGAGCGCTCTTAAAACTCAATGAATGTGAAACAACAAACGAACCTAAACTTCCCAGTTTGTGTGACGGTGTGACAGCAGGACAGCCTGCAGGTGGAGAACAAAGATCTGCAGCTGGACTCACCTCAGCGTGGTGTTCCTCGTTCTGCTGAAGAACCTCAATCACAAGCTCGGCCAAGCGGATGTTGTCCTCCAACTTCTTGGCAGGTGTTACTAAATGGCCCACATTCTCTGGGGCACAAGGTCAAAGGTTAGCGTGGATGGCCTTCACATCTGACTGCCGTCTGATCTTGTTGTCTGATTTACTCTGTCTGTAGCAGCAACATCAGGTGTCTGAGTCTCTGTTGTTCTCCAGTTAACCCTGCTGTGGCATTACTACTACGTGATGTGGGTTTTTTTTATTAGGAGTCTAAAACAACCTGTCCAGGACGTGGTTTTATATTTCACTGAGAACAGACAAAGGGACAAAGACAACACTGCTGACAACTAGAATTAGTTTGGATGTGTCGAGCTGTGTGTGTCTCAACTTGTGTACGAGTTAACACTTTCACCAAAGTGCTGCAGTGGATTAGTCAGGCACACACAGCTCAACAGTTCCCGAATCAATAATCTTTCTAAAGTTGTGTGTGTGCGCGCGTGTGTGTGTGTGTGTGTGTGGTGAGACAACAGAATGGGAAAGAAGCCACAACAGATAAAGATGAGGCAGTGGTACTACAGGAACTTAAAGAAACATTAAAGATGTAATGTCATTTAGAAAATGAAAAGAAAAAATGTTACAGGTTTAGAAAAAGAACAAAGAGAAAATAATTTTGATTTCTGGTCTTAAATTAACTCAGACAATTCTCTTCCACTGGACATCAGTGTTGTAATAGTAAAGTGAAAATGCACAGGTCCAGTCAGTGTGTGTGTATATCCTCAACTAGTTGTGTTTACGACACAGATGTTTCACTCAAACTATACAAAAAACAGAGGGAAAATGATTTTATGGGTTTGTGTTTACGACACAGATGTTTCACTCTACGACAGAGAAACCATTAAGGCAAAATGTGAAAGTCTTTAGATATTATGCTCAAACTAAACAAAAAACAGAGGGATGATTTTATGGGACAAAAATGTATAAAATGATCAGTATGAGTGTAACGTGTAACATTTAAAGAAACGTGAACTTTCTTGCGTTCCTGATTTTCAACATCAAGTCACTGCACAGAGGGATGTGGGTGAGAAGGGGGAAGGAGGCAGGTACTCACGGATTGTTAAATCCATCACTTGAGATGCCAAGCAGAAGATAGGATGCTCATACATTTCCCTCTTCTCCCCTACAGGAAGAAAAAGCGTACACCGAGGCATGGAAGAGGCCAGAGTCAGAGTGGACGAACAGGAGGGGCTGAAAGGGGTTTGACTGATATGAAGTTTTTCAATCTGACGTCCGACCTTTGGTGTCACTTTGTAACCTGTTGTTCTGTGTTGACATTCTACCTCATGTCCTTGTCCTTCAGAAGTATCTCCTTTATCAATGCTAATACTAGCATCCACTAATAAAATGACCAAATCCGTACACACGCTACATGGTGCTGGTTATTTTCCATGTGTCTTTTAAACAGCATATCAGTCAAACTTTAGAGTTAATGGTTTTTATTAACTCGGTTAGTTTAGTCAGTGACAGTCGTATGTGCTGTGGGAGTCAAAAGGATGAGCAAAATGGCAGTATCTATTTTTCTGTGACTGACTGGTGCCATAGTTCATCAGTTAGTAACAGATTGACTGATGAATTCATCGTCAGGAGAGGATGTAAACACTGTGTGTTGTGGGTTTTTTGTTGCCCAGACAGACAGGGCTGCAGGTCAGAAAACATGCCGATTCCAAAAAAACCTGAGACAGACAGGGCTGCAGGTCAGAAAACCTGCCGATATGAAGATTCCAAAAAAAACCTATGTGCCTGGAAATCATAATTTATGTAATCATCTTGACAGCTGCGCAGGTACATGAGCTGCCTTTTGTTTTTCTTTTTATCCAAACTGGATTTGACGTTACCACAGAGAGAAACAAGGTGTTATCATTGATGAAGTTGGCCGTGACGTACGCACGCCTGGAGCAGAGAACAAATGTGTGGATGTGCAGCAGGTTCTTCTGATCCGACCAGAACTCAGCAACGTCTTGCAAATGATGTGATAATTGGATGTTACTTGAAAAAGTTTGTCTTTTTTACATCTGCGGTCGCCCGCTCGTCTGAAACTGTGGGTGAAGCGCAGGAAGTCACTCTGACTTTGGGACGTTGTGTGCTGCTTTAACCATCAAATCTGTTACTTGGCTTTGAGCTATGGCCATGCCATGACGTTTGAGAGAGTGTGTTGTCAGCACACGAGGACACACTGTCTCAAAGAATGCACCTGCTGTTAAAGGAGATGCTGGGATTTGCTATTGATGAATAAATGTTCTTAGAGTTATATAAGGAGGATGTATTGATAAAATGCATTTAACCAGTAAAACTTCTACACCAGTTTACCATCATGACATACTTTACATGTTGAAAGTATGTAATGAAAATGACACTCCCCAAGCGAGAATTCTGAACGAGTCAGAAATAAAATGTTTACATTTTCTGATTGCCATGAAAAACATGCAATTGGACAAAAAACAACCTGCAACGCCACAAGGGGGTAGTCCAAGCATATCTGGTCTATTGGCCTGGCTGTTTCCAGAAAAAGCCAATAGACAGAGAATAGAAAGGAATAAATACGGAAGTCACCAGGAAGCAGATAGAAGGAAGGCAGACAAAAAAGACAAAGACAGCATTTTAGCTACGGGACAGAGTTGAACTCTGTTAGTTCAGACATCAAAGTCACACAAAGCTGACTGACAAAGAAAAAGTAGACAAAGAAAAATAAATGCAGGGACTAAAAAAAAAAAAAGTCTCAGACTACTGCCAGGATAAATTTGTTCTGATAACTCATTTCAATCATTACTCAAACCATGCATGACAAACCTTTTAACCACTTCATTTACAGGTAAATACAACAGCATTAAAATGCAGCTACGCCAATTAGAAGGTTATGAACATGAACACCAGGGAGCACGTCTAACCTAACATTTGAAACCGTGAACACAAACAGCCAATATTAGGAGGTGTTACATTATACCTATAATAAAATAGTGACAAAAAAAAACTATTGGTTTAAAGACAACAACCAGCAGCATTATTATTTGGGAAATGTCAATGATGGAATTTGAAATAAATGTATAACGTCTTAGTAAAAAGACAAACTAAACCTTCAACCCAGATGTTAAATATTTTATTATATATATATATATATATTTATATATATATATATAAAAATGCAGCATTCATTACCTTGGGGCCGGGGTGTCAACCTACCTTCCAGTTTGGCGTACTCGGCCAGCCGTTGGTAGTTGACTACAGCAGCCTGCTCCAGACACTTCTGAATCACGGCCTTGACTTTGTTCTGTGGAGCTGGAGTGACGATATCTTTCATTAAAACCTAAAACAGCCGGTACAGAGAGCAGTTTTATTTTCTCTGTAAAACAACTCAAATCAAAAACCACGTTGGTTAAAGTACAATTCAATGACATAAAACAAAGAGTCATACATCTCCCCAAATACAATTTTAATCAAATCTTCCATTCCACGTTCCCTGGGTTTTACTCAGCAGTAGTACTGCAGTAGCTCTTTATTTCTTTAATGGGTTGTGTAAATATATACCCGTTCAAGCAGGGACAACGTGGCTTTGAGTGCACCCTCTGGTCGTCCGAACGGAAAGCAATACCTGAAGGAGAAGGAGGTTCAGAGGAGTTTTACTGTACACGTACTGCATATATTAGTAATTATATAAGAGGAAAAAAAACAATGTGATCCTGTAGCAGTGTAGCATTCTATTATGTTATTTCAACTGCCTTTTCAAACCAGTATAAGATGGAAGTAAATACACCATAGACCTGTGGTTTTCAAACGTCTTATCCTCTGTACCAGCTGAGAAAACCCTGATCTCTCTGAGTAGCAGAGGCCTTCACTGTTAGCTCCACCACAGGAGAGAGGTTTATACGTAGTATTAATTGTACGTGGTATGTTTCAGATTTATTCAACTGAAAATGTAAATGTAAAAATATGAATTTTCTCCATGTACCACAGTTTGAGAACCACTGTCCTAAATACTTCATTTCACAAGTGGAGCAGTACTTGATGTCGTGTCAAGCCAATCGTTTCTTGATATTTCTCACCTGAAGTGTGTGATCTGGTTCTCCAGAAGAACACACAGTCGCTCTTTGATCTCCTCAAACCGTTCCTTCTCTTCCATGCTCACAGTGGCAATGCCATCAGGTCTGAAAGACAGGGAAATCATAAAATAGTAAAAATAATAATCATAATAATTAGTCAATCAATGAATTAATGAATTCAAACCAAGCAGGCTGGTTGATCTAACATCATCACTCCTGTATCCATGGTCCACTCAGCCTCAGTCAGTGTCAGTACTAACTGTCACAGTGACGTCATGTTGTTTCAAAGGTATTTAAACTCGTCATTTTCCCCTTTTTGGATTCAATGTGGCAAAAAGAACAATGACAGTATAGTGTGTATACGGTGTGCGTCTCTGTTAGTGTGGGAGTGTGTGTGTGAGTGTGTGTGAGTGTGTGTGTGTGTCTGCCTGTCAGATGTGTTCATAATATTTCTGACATGTGGGATCAGGGTAGACTGTAAACAGAGTGCATGTGACAGAAGATGCACTGGAGTGGTCAGAGTGACACTGGGATGAGAGAAAGGAAACATGACATGCTGCACTTGGTTCCCCTACACCATCTCAACAACCTGTGTGTGTCTGTGTGTGTGTGTGTGTGTGAACGCTGGCATCTGGTACATGAGGCTGTTCTTGCAACCAGTTTGCTGAGCATCGACAATGATGTCACCCAGATTTCCCATCATGTATCAGAGACATAAAGCGAGGCGGTGGCCGGGTGACTTCCAGGAGCTGGCCTGTTGCTGCAGGAAGTCATCCTGCCGAGCGTCTCCGTCTGATGACTGAGATCATACGGCTCAGATTTCCAAGTTGGCTGTGGAAAGCAGACTTGGAAATTCTTGTTCCCGTGCCTTGAGATGCTCATTGGTCTGAACAGTGTTACGACTGTTACCACTATTGTAATGGCATCACATGAGCTAAAGAATACCTGGTCAGTGAACATGTGTCCTTTACAAAGAGACTGACTAACAAAAATGCTCATCTCTTGATACTGGTTTAAACCTGATCTAATCATAAAATAGCAACTGAAACATTAGGACTAAAACAGGTCATGTATTTAACCCCACTTGTTACCGTGTAGACATTTTAACCAGAAATGTCTGTGTCAACAAACATATCTTGTGTGCCCGGGTGACGAGCCCACGGGGCTGAGGCATCTGTTTGATTTGTACCTGTTTCCATGGACATGAGAGGCACAAAAGGCAAAGCTGTAGTGCAGCAGGGTGGGGTCAATCATGGCTCCATTCTCTGCTCTCTCCAGCAAATCACTAAGGTAGCACAAATGTCGATGGCAGCCTCGGACACCGTAGCGAGCGCAGTACTCATCCAGGACGAACACCTGACCGGGACTGAACCAGCCCTGTGGACAACACACCAGAGGGAAATATTTTTACTGCCAAGTGATTTCAGCCATTAAGGCTCCAACAACAGACTTTTTAGTTAAAAGTAACAAATAATATCTGTACAAAATGAATCTATCTTTTAGTCTGACAGATGTATTTTTTCAAAAATGTATCAACTAAACTTAATAAATGAAGAGAGTATATAGTAACGATTGTATTCTCTTCAAATTAGGTAAATTATTCCTTCTTTCTATGAGGCCTGGTATCAAATGACCAAAGGGTCGGCATGGGTCCATGCACCGGGAGTTGGGGAACACTGCTCTAAATGACTCGACAAAGTTGATTAGTAGGTGGATATTTTTTCACTTGTGTAATCATTTCTTGGTTGGGTTGGAGGATGGACAGTTCACTGGGGGTGAATAGGGAGGAGAGAGAGTGGGGGAGATCATGACAGTAAATATGAATGTTGTCAGATGGAGCCCCATCCACAGGGTTTCATTTGAACTCCGACGTTGGTGCTGCCATCTAGATCTTGATCTCTGGTTAAAAAATGGTTACATAAAAAAAAACCATAGTCTGCACAGCAATAGGAGAGGAGGCACCTTTGATTTCTCTTCCTCCGCTGCTTTAACCATGACCCATGTCAACGAAGGACAGATACGTGACTACATTAATAATATTTAGCGTTTCCTCACCAGACAGGAGTAGGAGTCGTTGAGTCTGTGATCCAGGGTTAGTCGCTGCACCAGCTCAAAAAGTGACATGTGGTCAAAGTTACAGGGGTTGGCTGATATGAATTCATCCATTCCATGCTTCTGGGCACGGTCGGCATCTAAACACACACCGTCGGAGAAATGAGAAGTGAGCAAGGATGACTAAATATTGACACCAGTCCACAACTTTGACCATCAAAGGCAGGACTAAGCTGGACCTAGATGAAGATGTAGTCTTCCTAACTTGCTGAAAAGGCCTTGAGTCCCACACTCTACCAAATGTCTAAAAATGTTACGGTGCACTGCCCCGTCAGGCCTGTTTTATGAGTGGGCAGGGGTGGAGGAAGGCAGCACGGACAGTAACATGCAGTGACATCAGTCGCCCCGTCCCTCTGGACAGGGACAGGTTTGCCCTGACATTGACTGATGGCTGCTATTCTCATAGACCAGAAGAACCCCCAAATTAATGGTTAGGGGCTACAGTAAGAATAAAGTCCATCTGATAACGTCTGCTGCACACACCGACCAGGCCACGTAGTCCAATATGAGTAGTAAGTACTAAAAATAAAAAATAAATAAAATTCAATTGGTGATTTATCATTTCACATATAGTTGATCATTATAAAATTCAATTGGTGATTTATCATTTTACATATAGTTGATAATTTTCTTAATACTTTGCTAATAAACATTGCTAATAAAAATAAAATCTTAATGTGATTGATGTTGGTTTTGACTTAGTGACAATAAATGTAGAAAATGAAACAATCAAATTACAAGAGTTACAATTTTTATTTTTTTTAAGGTTGAAGGAGATGAACATTTAAGGAAATAAAGGAAATAGGGAAAATAAAGGACTTCTTATTTAATTGACAATGCTCTGAACGTTGTTCATAGTACGTACCTGTTTATAATACTATATCATTCAATATTTTTACAAATGACCAAATGTGACAGAAATCTATTACTCCTTGTCATGTTTGGTTAGCGAGCTCCGACGCTGCAGGTGTCTACCGTCGCAGCAGCTGCAAACTGATTTTTGTGTTTGCATTTGTTGTGCTTTAATTTCAGCACGTGTCAAAGTTTAACCACGGTGAAGTAGTGGCTGGGTAGGTGTGTGTTTGAGTCGTAATTATTCAGTGTGCTGATCCAGTGTGAACAGTGAAATAATTATTTGGTAACATTGAATGATTGCTGCACAACTTTAATTGTGAGGCAACCACACTGCGTTATTCATGGCCTTGCACGTTTAGCTTAGTAATTACCAACCGCTGAGACCCAGTAGGATTCTCCGGGTCGTGTCAAACAAACAGCTCAGTCAGTGAACGCACCTTCAGAAGAGCACCTAGTCACTGAGAGAGGCGACAGGCTTGGAGTTCAACATCTATACTCCACATTCATTTGTTATTGGATGATGAAGGCTGTTCTGTTGAAGTTGGTTTAATGTTTCTCTTAACAAAAAAAAGCTGCTGCATGATCATGTACGTAACTCTCTCTGTGGTCTTTCAGTCTTGGATGAACTGGACCTCAGATTTAACACGGTCAATTTATTGCTGTGCAGCTTGGAGCTTCAAGATCAGGCAACTTGCACCATGATTCCAGAAACTGTTTTACCAACAACTAAATGACCATTTAATATTATTTAGAGTGTCTAGAGTAACACATTTTTAAATTCATTTCCAATTTCCAATAGAATTCAGTTTTGTTGTCTTTTTAGCTTTTTAATAAATTGAACTTCTTTAATAAAGTTTTTTGTAAGATAATGTAGGCATTTCTTTTTTTTTAACAGACATAAATGTGAAGTGCTTAAAACATATTGATGTTTCTGCCTGATATTAAATTAATTACTTTATGGATTTAAATTTAGGATGAAACTGATATTTTGACACCATTTAAAGTCACAAGTAAATAAATGATTGACGTTGAGTCACACCATGTATCAACAGTTTTGACAGCATCAAGGTGTGATTCAATGAGAGGCAAATCAGTTTGGTATGATAAAATTAGAGACAGAGAGAGAGAAAAAAAAAACTTACAGAATTGTGAAATGGGAGCGTCGAGCTGAGGCGCTGTGCCTCCCTTGGAGTTGAGTTTCTGGACCTGCGTTGGAGGGACTGGTTTGTGTGACTGGCCAGTGGCACGATACATAGCCTGCACCCAGAGGATTCTGTCCTGCTCATCATCACTGGCGAAGATCACAGTGTCACCCTCCTTCAGAGCATTGAAGAACGTCCGACCACCGTCTAGTCCTGAGTGAAAGGAGGAAATGCTGCTTGGTTTTCTATTCACTGGGACATTTGGAGACGATATGAATCCAGCATTAATGATGCTGTTACACAGGCATTTGTTCTCTTGTAAACAAACACTTTTACAGCCATTTTAGTTGAGGTGAGTGCATGTCACTGGTCTTTGAGCCTGTGAGTGTCACCTGGCTGTGGGTCAGTGTAGTCCACAGTGAAACCGTCCAGCTGAAGAAGCTCCACCGGCTCAGCCTTCTTCTCTCTGTAGCTGCACATGGCGAAGGTGTACTGACTCACCTACACCGCCACAACGACAGGAAGGGATGAGTCAGCACCAGGCGCACAAGAGAGCAGACGGTGGTGATTTGATAAGCCAGTGTTTTGTTTTTTTTACATTTTAACAGTTGTTGTAAATACATGAGATATAATGAAAATAAAGTAGAAAAGTGGTATATATGAGAGGGGGATTCAAATGCAATTACTTTTACACACCACATGGGTTTATCAATAATAATATTGAAGAATATTAGGCTCAATTCTTCACATATTTTAGATTATGAAGGTGAAGATTTTTTTGTTTTTTTTCACTAGAAATCAGGAACTCAGAACAGCAGAGTACAGCACTGCACACAGACAGGGACAATGACCAACAGTCTGAGTGAAGGACAGAGGTGTATATACCCAGGGCACCAGGTGACACCAGTGAGACTGATGACAGAGACACAGGTGAGAGTGATCACAGTGATTACCACAGACAGGAGAAGAAGAAGAAGACAGACCTGACTACAACAACGACAATAAAAGAAAGAACAAAACACCACACGATAATTAAGGTCGGTTTTGCCGACAAAAAAAAAACTCTACTAAAAGAAAATAAATCAGAGTAAATATAGTAAATTCTAACTATAAGGTCACCAGGAGGGAAACTTTAAAGACACAAATTCCACAACAGGTATGAACTATGACGAAGTAGTGAAGTGAAAATCAGGGCATCCATCTGTAGAAGTTGAATTCAGATAATGCCACAACTAGAGTTTTTGATCACAGCCACACACACACACACACACACACAGACACACACACTTAACGACTGCCATGGTACTACAGTAGTACTAGGAAGCAGATGGTGCCAAGTTATTTACAAGATGAACAGTGATTTAGACTTCACATGATCAGAAGAGACAGACATCAGTGGTTCAAAACATCAAGAAAATCACATGCATGTGCCACACACACACACACACACACACACACTCAGTATTGTCACTTACTATATATTTCGCTAGGAGCAAAAGAAAGGCTTAAGTTGGCAACACACAGCGTTTTCTAGCTGCGAGTGTTAGTGTTCACTCCACTTTGTCAATCCCCTGTCAACGTGTAGCTCTGAGACATGTCCTCTGCAACACACCACAGACAGGCCATCCCAAGACCAGTCCCCCTCCCCTTCAGCTTCTCACTGTCTCCTATACCTTTATTTTACTTTTCATACGTTTTTTTTTTCTTTCTAAATGTATGTTAAGTTTTTTGTTGTTTCTTTTTTTTTCAGAGTCCAGGGAGGAACAGAAACCCGTTTAGGGTCAAATGTATTTTCTACTGAATGTGATTTAATTTGACTTGATGCTTTGACAGTCATCATAAGACGGCTGGGCTTCGTTGTTGTGGTGTTTGTGCAGCAGAGTTGTTGTTCTTCTCTGCTGGGTTTCGTACTGATGAAGCTTCCTGTGAATTCACTGAGAAATGCCAGTGAAATGCTACTGAGGCTAGGTGGAGGGGACGGGTGGAGACTGAATAAGGCCAGAGGTCGTTCTGATGATCTGGTTTAGATTGACCAATGCAGCTGACAGGTGCTGTTCTACCCATCCACCCGTCATTTATATCAACCCCACGTTTTATCCACTTCCTGTGGCAAAAGTCATAAACTTAGTGCCTTGAGAACTGGGTCCTCTTCTCGTGTAGGTCTGATCACACTGGAGAACAACACCTTGGTTCCATCCTCCAAACCCCCTCCACCCTACAGGGTAATCATTAGTGACTCAGTCAAATGGCTTCACGCCTTTTTGTCTTCCTATCGTCTCTGTTGACACTTTGTCTCCTGTGTTTTTCTTTCTTTGACCCCGGCTCCTGTGAAACAAATCTGTTCATCATCACAAACTTTGTTTTGCCCTCACCTGGATTTGTCGGACTTGACAAGTGTGTTTTTGAAATATATTACTTCAAAATCACATTGAATTCATTAATCTCAGACATTAAGGTTATGTATCTGAGCCTTTTAAAATGTACATTCAACACAGACAGGACAGGTATGGAGGCAGCAGTAAATTATTAAAACATATATCAGTATTGAGTATAGGAGAAAATGCAGATTATTCATGTTATTATTCACATATATATGTCATTATCATATTTCAATAAATATGTTTTTTTATATAGCAAGAAAACTGATCTTAAAACAAACCCATAAATAATATTATCCTGAAAATGTCTAAAAAAACTGAATCTCTTTTCAGATATTGTCTAGGGATTTTTTAAATTAATTATCAATTATTGAAACTAATTTAAACAGAATTCATAAAATATAAATTTGAACAATACATGATAAATATTTTTTTGGAAATAAAGAATGTCACAAATAGTTAATATTTAAGTTCAACAAGTAAAAATTGTTAAAAGTCTATTGTTATTTCAAATAAAATCCAAATAATGCCTAAATGATATTCAGTTTTAAATATTATTTATGGTGGAGGATGTGGCAGCGTAATGTTTAAGGAAATCAAAAATCAAATAGATGAAAAATGAATACTGCTCTCAGGGAATGTCAAAAGCTTTTTAGAGCTTAGTTGTTTTTTATTAATCTTATTTAATATGAAGTATTTGTAAGACTGTATTTATTACTGTTCTGTGGTTTGTTCATTTGATATTTATGAAACAATAAACGATTAAACAGAGATTTCTTAATTTTTGTATGTACAACGTGTTTGTCATTTATGTTTAATTTTTGTCCTAATTTTGTTTGTTTTAATTTTTTATTTAATTTTTGGATCTAACTAAGATCTTCTTTTTTTTCCCCATAGATTTCTACTATGTCTTAAGTTGAATTTCTGATGTGAAAATGACTATAAAAAGTTACCTGGACCAGCACAAAAAATCTTTTCTTCCATCTTTTCCACACATTTTTGCCGGTGGCCCAAAGATATCTGTGAAGTAAAAAGAGATACAGATCAGAGATGAGGTTAGATGTTCCTGTGTCCACAGTTCAACCCTGTGATGTTTTTCTTTTCACTCCTGTAACCCAGACGAAGTCTAGTCATGAAATGGCTGATAGACATTTACTGACACCATCAGGCCAAATGGCATCACTGCAGCTACTTTGGAACCACCGTCAGTTGAGGTAACATTCCACAAGAATCGTGCACCAACTGTGTGCTGCAATGTACAAAGGTCTGAAAGAAACCTTTATACATAAGAAACACAGAAATATTTTTTGGACAATTGGAAAATTCTAGAAAAAACAAAATAAAACATATTTTCTTCAACAATGATAACAAAGTCGTTGTCTAAATATTGAATTCTGAATTTTCTTCAAAACATTTCCCGTTTTGCATCACCACTATGTGACTGCCGTATGATGGACTGATAATTGTATTGTAGATTTATATAAAACTTCAGCTGTGTCACAATTAAATCCCACAAGGTGGCAGCAAAGTATCACTATGACTAGTCAGGCCTTCGCCGTCAGTTACAGAGAGAGATGGTTGTTGTGTCCGCTGGGTATGTGATAAAATATGTGGTATATATAAAGCTATATTAATTTTTAATAGTATATCTATTTTTTAGTATATTAATAAAAAAAATCTGCTACAAAACATTGATTTTTTTTTGCAGTGTTGTGCAAAACCACCTACCCACAATGCTTCATGTTTTGTGGTTTGTCCATCCGGACGGCTAGTTTGATCCTCAGGTCATTGTCCGGACACCCTTTAGACACTGTCATCTTGTAGAGCTCAGACTGTTTGGGACTGTTAGGTGTGGGGTGGAGCACAACCTGCCAGGAATGGAACATTATTAAACGCATCACCAGAGGAAACGCAGCCGTGACTGTTACTGATGTCTTACCCTGCCCAGCTCCTTATCCTCTAACGCCAACACTCCTGTGCTCTCTGTGAACAGCTTTACTTTGATGGCAGGTAAGGGCTGTGTAGTGGTGAAGTCACCCTGGGTACCCCAGCTGCACACACACACACACACACACACAGAGGCAGAGAGAGAGAGAGAGAACGAGACAGAAAAGTATGACTCAAACTTCAAGACTAATATTTGCAGCTCTGTCAGTGTCACTGTTGATGTCTCTGTACATTCTCAAAGCCATAGTACCAGTAGAACCTACTGACTGGTATAGAGTATTGCACTCACGTGGGCTTGGACGCCTCAGCTTGGTCTGTTTGTAGTTTGTGGCCCCCCTCTACCTCCATGGTGCAGTAAACGATCCTGTTCGGGGCCAATGACTTCAGACCCTGTACTTCCATAATCACCACCTGTGACGTACACAGGTGGTGATTTGTAAATAAACCAGAGGTTGATGTTACACTTACTTGAAAATACTGTGGCTATTTCTTGACAGAATTATAAAATAGATGCGTCCAAGATAAACATGCTGTCATAAACTGGACATTCCTTCCAGTGTTTAATTGGTTTGTGTTTCAGATCCAGCTTTACAGCATGGCTTAGCAAAGTCTTCGATTTGTACCAGCATTATAACATGGAAGCAATAAAAGAAGCTACTGTATTTTTGGAGTGACTGTGATCACCAAGCAAACATCTCTGACGTAAGAAGAAGTGGAAAAGTTGCTACTGATTTGGATCAACGAAACACAGTTGGCCAACGACAGTATTTCAGAGACAATAGTTTGAAGAAGCCAAAGAACTGATGGCACTAACCTCGAGGGTGAAGGAAAGAACCACATCAGATTTGGTCAGTGCGTTCTCATCATCCTGCCCCATGTCCATGATGGATGTGTTGTGGCCTCTTTTCAACTTTTGCAGCTTAAAGTCCCCTCCTTTGGACACAGGCATGCTTTCCAGGTTTGCCATCAGCAGGTTCACAGAGGCGCGCAGTTCCTCGACGTACGTGACCTCCATCTCCCTGGACAAAAATCTTGGGAATCTTCCACCATGCTGGAAAAAAAGGACAAGGATGCAACCTTATTTACATGTAAACGAGAGCATTTTTCAAGACAAATTAGAGATGCCTCTCTGTATCAGAGCATCCACTCTTGACACAGGTAAAGGGTCAGTCCTTAAAATTCACAACAGGAGAAAATGCAGATGCGATTTCTTAGGCTTTGATGATGCTCCTCTCATTCATAATGTCATCTTTCATCCCTCCATTCTTACCCGAGCAATTTGGTCTGCCATTTGCAGTCGTCCATCCAGCTCTCTTCTGATCTGGGCGGCCTGCTCGTCAAGGTTGTCTAACTGAAATGGTAACCAGAAATATCAATCGTTAAAAAAACACCATCAAAAGTACTGTTTATAATCTGTTTAGACAAGGTGTTAATTCATGGCAGCCCTTTCTTCTTGGACCTCATGCTCCCCTCACACTGCTCTGCTGTACAACATACTTTAATTCATATGATGTCAATGCAGTTTCTGCAAAATTAAAGGAGCAATTTTAGCCCCTACAGTGGTGGAAAACCACGTGTTTATGATGTTGTATTGTGTTATACTCAAACAGTGAAGTGGCCCTCCAATGAGATGAGGTCAGTGAACTGTCATTATATAAGAAACAATGAATCTGCCTGTATATCCTGGTTTAGGGTTTTGGTAAATGAGGGAGACGTTAGAGCAGTGCCATCCATTCAGAGCCATGTTTCTTAAATCTAGTTTAGATAATGGTCTCTCTGTTTAAATGAATTGAAGGGATGTGGTGATGAGCACCGCCCTCAGTTTATCATTGCTGTAGAAACTGCATAATCATAGCAACAATGACCCTACAGCGCAGAGCTCATTGTTTGCATCATTCTATGCAGTCTATGCATCATTTTTCATTATCTGTTCAGTATTTCCAGTGGCTACTTAGAAATTCAAATGTTTTGTATTGGTGGACCATTAGATTCATACACAGCGAGCTTCATACGTTATGTCAGTAAATGTGTTCACTATGAAAGACACAAAATGTTCATGTAGGAAAACATGAAGGTGAAGGTAACACACCCCTGCTGCGTATTTAGCCATTGGTTAGATGATGTATCATCCTTTTATTTACAAAATAAGCTTAAAAACAAGTGATAAAAAATCTGATGTATATGAATATCACATATAAACATACAAATTAGTGATTCATTGTCATTGATGTGCAGCACAACAGAATTTATCCTCTGCCTTTCACCCATCACCACAGTGAGCAGTAGGAAACTCAACCTCAGATGCCATGGAGCGTGTGGAGACGGTGCCGTGCTCGGTGTACCTCGGTGGAACCTGGTGGCTGGTGGATTCAAACCTGCGACCTTACGGACACAAGTCTGTGTCCTTTCCCTCCAAGCCACCGCTGACACGACAAGAAATGGTTGTACCCAGAAACAAATAAATAAACTCCTACCTGGCAGGCGTTGTAAAGCAGTTGGTGCTCAAACTTTTTGATTCCGAGGATCTGCTGGAACATCTCGTAGAGCTGGTCTTTGCTGAGAATGAGCTCCGAGGCGGCGCTGGCTGTCATTCTCTGCTGCAGCTTCCTGTGATCCTCTTCGCCACGGTAGATGGTATCAAACTTGGCGAGCCAGGAGCTCAGTACAGTCTCTTTGCTGAGGCCATCAATCTCTGGCAGGCTGCGCACACGCTTCTCTATATGTTTTTTAAAAACCTCCCGTGAGTCGCTGGCAGAGCAGCCACCGCTCTGCACCATCCTGGCAACGCGGTCACTTTTAAGGAAGACCTGCGACGAGTGACATTATTGGTTTACACGTGTCCATGTCAGAAATAGCTGAAACTGGTAACAAACTCTAGTTAAATATGTTTTAGCTTTTCACCACACAAAACCATCACGCCCCTATGCTAATGCTAGCAGGCTAGAGATAGAAGAAGACACAAAATACAAACACGCTGGTTTCTCTAACATACAGCCTTGTTATTCTAAGTAATAATGTAAAATAAATAATAATAACAATTTGACCTTTATTGATCCCACACTGGGGACATTGTTGTGCCAGCAGTAGATCTGCTGCACCAGGCTGCCGTTTGGAGGTGCCAAGTATGTGATACCTCCGGGAATCAGACCCAGGACTCGCTGCTTGCTAGGCAGGTGTGCTAGCCGCTACACTGTGGAACCACAATTGAATCCACTGCAATAGCCAGGAATCGAACCCACTTCTTGGAAGGCAGTTTTGCTCACCACTATACCACACTTTTGTAAATATAAGAAACAATAATACTCACCTCGTAGTAACTCTGCACTGCGTTGATAAAAGCCTCGTCTGCCACAATCTGAGTATCTCCACTGAGGAAGGACTGAAATCGCTCCTTGACTGTCTGCAGGTGCTGTTTACTGATCTGGGAACAGTGAGAGGTAAATTAGAATCAAACACCGTCGCCTAAAAGGACATTAACTCAACTGTCAATGTCTAAAGAATAGGTTTAATCTTTACTGTTTAGTAAAACTGACAGTTACAAACTCTTCTGTTAACTTCTTCATACAGTGACAGATCGTTCATGATCGATTTCAGTAAGATTTGATCTTTGACCTTTAATATAGTTCATTTCATTGTAACACAACACATAAATACATGTTAAAAGAAGACAAAAGGCTGAGTTGGAGACGCAGCAGCATGGTTTGGACATGTCTTGAGGAGAGATCATGAATATATTGGACAAAGGATGTTAGAGATGAGGTCACCAAGAAAGATGAGAAGAGGGAGAGCTCAGACGAGACATGGAGATACTGTAGTTGGAGTGAAAGCCAAAAGAAAAGGAAGAAGATCATCCACTCCTACAACGACCCTTTATTATCCTTTAATTCAATACAGAAACCACTGAACAGAGTGATCTTATCACCACAACACGCATCCCATATTGGCCAATCCTCCTTTGAAACCCTGGTAACGGTTACCATGGCCACAGAGGGGAAAGGTTATGAGAGTACAGCTTCCTCAGGGAAGAGGTCAAAGTACACAGTTCAGATAAACAAAGGCAATTGACAGCTTCACAGGGTTGCTGCCAATGTTTATGATTTTTTTTTGCATCAATACATCATTGATTCAATTTAATTGATTGTTAAAAAATGATTTACTGGAGGTTATTCACTGGCACAGAATGAATGCGTGATGACTTTCATGAATTATTTACAGATGTTTCAGCTAAAATCAGTAAAGAGAAACAGACACTGTGATTCAAGTCAGTTAATGTTCCTGTGCTGATGAGTCTGACAGCAGAAGAGAACATAGAAATCTAACTGGATTATTTGCTTGAGTGATAGTTAGTAGTGATAGATAGGTAGTATGTGTTAATGTAGTAAACAAGACGTCCAAACTGTAATAAAGTACTTCTTAATTGCACAAATCCTCCCTAGACAATAAATAAATTAGAATTAGAATAAATAATGTGAAAAATATTCAAAGGATCAAAACAGGAAACATGAAAGACAGAGAGGTTCCTGGAAACCTGCTCTAGTTTTATCCTTTATTGTCATTGTAATCAACTTTCAGACGGTGAGTCTCGACTTTCAGATTAAAGCACAAACCAATAATAAACTGACAGCAAAACAATATAGAGCAGAAATACTAGAATAAAAACCTTAAAGGTCTACAAACACAATTTTGAACGAGTCAAAGGTTCAGGGAGGGAGGAGGGTGCGGGGGGTGACACGGTGACTCAAGAGTAATCACTGTGTATCACTCTGTATGGTTGACCCCGGGTCCTTGAAGAGGTGAAGAATGGGGCGCAGGCAGAGAGTGATTCGTGACAGAGGAATAGCATCACAGGTGAAAGGTCAGGTTTATAAGACATTAGTGAGAGCGGCTACGATGGACGGTGTACGGTATTTTCACTGGGAGTGAAAGGAACGATCATGATTAGAAATAAACAGATCAGAGGGAATAGAACAGCAGTGGACTGAAGACTGACCCTGAGGTTCACCTGTGTCCAGGTCAGTCTTCCATCACCAGCTGAGGTCTGTTGGCCAAGCAGTCCAGGACCCATCTGTACAAGGAGCTGCACACTTTGGTCCTTCATAACTAGAACCTAATTATGTAAATAAGGAGTTGTGATCCAGGTGGTGGAGGAAACACAACAGAACCTGCATCAAAGCTGGAATTGTTTGGTCTGTAGGTGAATGGAGGGGCCCATGTAAAGTAGGCAATTAATGAGGAAGGGGTCCTTCATCTATTCTCTCAAAGCACTTTATGACGGTGGAAGAGAGTCATATAAGCGGTGATAACAGTATAGCTTTAGTTTTCTTGAACGGGGCGGAACTACAGACTCCGACTTGGAAACGTACAAATGACTGAGGACACAGGTGAGTTCAAAAGTGACATCAAATGCAACATTTATGAATTTCTCTCGAGGAAGTAGTGACACTGCATTCTACTGTAGCATCTCTAACTGTGGCAGTCAGACGCCCGACCAACTCCTCTCATCCTTAGATCACTGACTCCCAACTCATACACAATACACAGTACGGCTGTACAAAACCGCCATAAAACATAAGACAGCTGTCTACAATTTTCAATGGAAATCACAACTTGTGATACTGGTTTCTTTTACATTTTTCTTTCTGTTTTTTCTTCATTCTTATGCATTTGTAATATTGAAGTATAAACTATAATTAAAAAGAAAACCCTCTGCTTTATACAAGCTTTTATGCCTGAATATTTGAAATGTAAAAAGAAATTCACATACCTTTAGCATTTTCCCCATGTACCACTGTGGGTACTCGTACCCCTGGTTGGGAAACACAGCCTAAGATGCTCCATCACTTTCTGTCTAGCTTATAGAGCATATCGCAAGATACTCACTACAGTGTTACATAATACTATACTATAATAATCTTCGTGACCCAAGTCAATAGACATTATTCGAAACTGGGAAACATGACACGAGACGACCCAAAAAATAAAAACCCCAAAAAAACTTGTGCGACCCACCTGAGGGTTGCGACCCAGTCTTTGGGAAACAATGGTTTAGTGTATATGGAATAAAGATATTCTCTGATGTCACCTTCGGTGGCTTTGATATCTGTGATTATGATGATTTTAACAGACATGTAACACCTGCCGTGCCAAAGCCAAGTACGGGTGGACGTAAAGATCCCAGGACACAATGGCAGTGAGGTGGTACATCGGAGACTGCTACTGCAGGAGTTCTGGTGACACAGTACAGGAGTTGTACACCCCACCAAAAAGGGCGAAAGAAAGACTACAAGGCAGTAAAGTAACATTATGGAGGCCAGCTGTTTTAAAACACCAGGTGAACCAACAGCATGACGTGTTGCAGAGAGGAAATGAACAACTAAGACACCTTTTGCAGCAAGAGCGACAAAGGGCAAAGGAAAGCCAAGAAAGACTACAAAAAGAACTGCACAAGTTAAGACAAACATTGGTTACATATGACAAAGACATGAGTGAGCAGTATATGAAGATGCAAAAGCAGAAAGACTGGCTTGGAGAACAACTAACGGACATGAAGGACAAGTACAGCATTAGAGACGATTGTAAAAGCTCGACATCTGTGACAACCGCGAGAGAGAGCCATGATGCCAGACTTCGTGTAAAGAAGGAGATCAAGAAAAGAGTTGCGTTACGTGTAAAACTCCGCCACATGATG